ATGTCAGATCTTTTTGCTTCCAGCTGAGCCACTTTGTAACTCATGTCATATAAATTACCGCACTTTCCATGTGATTTACTATGCAGTTAATTGAGCCATATCACCAATTATTCTGCTAATACCAGGCATCTCTGCAAAATGAGATGGCCAGGAAAGGCTCTTTGTGAATGGGACCCAGAGCTCTCTGATCTGTAGATTTGTAGCAAGGTATTTTTGCTATGAGTGATTGGAAGGACAGATTACTTGCTTCATAGATAGGATGGTGTCCACTAGTCAGCCACGTTTGGAAACTGTTTTCTTCTATTCCAGAAACACAACCTTATGGCAGCTATCAGATATGGTCTGCAAAAATCTGGATGGCAGCAATGACACCCTTATGCAACTCTTTGAGTTCTTCTAGTGGTCATCTGGAATTTTGCAAGCCAGACGTGGTAACCTAGCCTTAGGAAAATTCTACAAGCCAAATGTCCAGCAGATGGATTATATAAAATGTTCTTTTTAGCAGGCAGATATGTAAAAGTATTCATATAAACTGCTCTGAAATTGAATTGGTAAGACTGGTCTGTTTTATTACTGGCTTTGCAGGGCAGATTTGTGCTCTAGCATTTTAATATATCCAAAATTTTAATAGGAAAACTGGATATAAATTCACTGCCTTGTTTACAGAGTGACGATTAGTTGCTTAGTTGTGGAACCCTCCCTTTTCTCAGGAAAAATGATCTCTGTGTTCAGAGTAGTGCAATTTTCTCAGCAGAGGTTGTGTGCAAAATCATATGGCCTTTTCATGAAGTGCCACAGAAGAAAAACGGCCTCTCCCAAAAGCCTCATCCTGCTGTAGGTTTTTTGCTACGAGAAGAGAGAAAAAGTCAAACCATGGGGCCTTGCAAATATTTTCACAATAGAGTAGGGATTTTGGAAAAATTGATAATAGATGATTGGAAATAGATGAGAGCTAGTCAGACTATGTATCTGCTGGTAGCAAAAAAAATTCTACCTGCTGCTAAACTGCTATAAATTCATTAAAATTCACGATAAATCTCTTATATGTCTATATGCCAAAGCTGTAGTTCAAAGAATATACCAATGTGATGAGTGGGTGACATGTGTTTTACGTGGTCTATTTATTGCTCTTAATGTGTTTCTAAATTTTCTGTTGCATTCTACTAAATTTTTGTTTACACTGTGTACTATTTGGAGATGCTTGAATAGGAGTACTGATCATGCTCTGTACTAAATATTCAATATTGACGTGAAGGAATTTCTGAAAGTTTAGATCCATTTATATAGGTTATTTATAGGTTATTGAGCAGCTCAGCTGAAGTCTACTAGCAGGAGGTTGACCTCCAAACCAATTCTGTTACTGTTTCCTGTTTTTTAATTTGACTCTATAATTCAGAAGAAAACTGAACATCTAGGAAAAGAAATTTTTGGGAAACAATTAGTGGGACCAGGTTTGCACAAGTTGTAGCTCTCCCTCCTGTCACTTCTGCCCCCTACATATAGATGTGGCTCTACTTTTGTGATCAGTAGAAATCTGTCTTTTTTTTTTAAAAAAAAAAGGTTTTTGAAAAAAAGGTCTGTTTAATAAGGAGGGAAACCACTGCCTGCTGTCAAACTGCAGTGCTCTCAAAGTAATGTGCAAAATAGAATGCATGCAAACCAAAATAGATATGATCTCCTTCTTGACCCCAATCTTGAAACTTGGCAAAGACATCAGAACTCCAAAGCTAACCCATTTTCTACTTTTCTTTTGTTCTGCGGTTACCTGTGATGCTTGCAGTGCAGCCAGATCAAACGGCTGATTAAGCTTTTTCACAGCTTGGCCTCTGTACATTTGACCTACTGAGAGCAAAGCAGAGGCCCAGTGCTATTTCCACAGGCTGGATTAATCAACATGACTCTAGACTCAGGCACTCAGCAAAAGGAAAAAGATCTAGTGGGGATTCCAATTCTACTTTAGTTGAAATTGTTTTTTTTGATCAATTGAGTTTATTGTTTTAACCTTAGACATTGCGGTCTGGACTACGGTAGTGTTGTTTTAATTTTGCATAACTCCCAGAATCTGTTGGGTGGGTGACCAAATAAGAAAGAAACAAACAAATAAACAGAATTGTGCAGCATCTATAGAATTAGCTTCTTCAAGCAAGAAGCTCAAGAAATTGAATAAACTTTGAAAAGGGACCCAAGGTTGTAACTCATAGTGCTACTTCAAGCCTAGAAACTGTTCTGCCAGTAAATAAAATCTGAATCTCATGCCCATAAATTCCCAAATTTGTACAAAAGACTGGAGATATTCCAGAGCAGACTAGGGTAATCTTTTGGACCTCAGGGACCACCAGCCTTTTGGACCTCAGGGACCACCAAACTCATAATTTTAAATCCCATGAACCAGAGACCCTGGGAAAATCCCCCAAACAGGAAAATTCCCCACCCCGTTTTCCTGCCAATTGATCATTCTTTATTTGGGATTGCAGGATACCGATTGATCATTCTTTATTTGGGATTGCAGGATACAGCTCCGTTCTCAGGGGAGTGGGAGAGAAAGAGGGAGACTTTTGGCTTCATGCAAGGAAAGCAGCAGAAGCAGCAGAAGTCTTTCTCTCCCCCAAACTCTGCCAGAAATGAGTCTTTGTGAGACTTTGTGAGACTGGCGCAGCCTCTTGGAGCAGGATGCCTTGCAGGGTCCCAAAGACTCATTTCTAGCAGAGTTTGCAGGAGAGAAAGAAAGACTTTTTCTGCTTTCCTTGCATGCAGCCAAAAGCAGAAGAAGAAAGAAGTGGAAAGAAGCAGCCGGGTGGCCAGGCGAGGCCCGTGGGGCGAGTGGGGCAAGTTTCCCCCTCCACCCTTTCCCCCCTCCCCTTACTACCTCGTGTTGTTCACAATGCAAGCAACGCAAGCCTTGTGTTCCCGTGCAGCCTGGATTAATTGCTTTTGGGGGGGGTGCTTTGGGGATGACATTTCTCTGTAGACCACCAAAATTTTCTCATGGACCACCAGTGGTCCCTGGCTCACTGGTTGGCGACCACTGGATTAGGGTATGCACTAGTGGTGGGATTCAAATTTTTTACTACTGGTTCTGTGGGCGTGGCTTGGTGGGTGTGGCAGGGAAAGGATATTGTAAAATCTCTAGTCAGAGGTGGTGTTTGCTGGTTCTCTGAACTACGCAAAATTTCCGCTACTGGTTCTCCAGAACTGGTCAGAACCTGTTGAATACCACCTCTGGTATGTACACAGGGAGGTGCCAAACAGGAGACTAGTAAGGTATCTTACTCCTTGGGCTGAAATCTGCGTAACTGATGCTAGAAGTAATCTTGTGTTTGATTTACTTGAAAAATTACATTTATGCTACAGTGTACATACATACAGGAAAAAAGTGGAGTGAACTACTAGTGTTTATTTATTCACTTCCTTATTAATTTTAATACTATCTAATAGCTGCAATTATTTTGCAGATGTGCCTCTTTCAAAGTCTAGATTAGAGCATAGTTTTAAAAGGCCAGAAATCCACCTCAAAGTAAAACGCTTAAAGAATAAGCAGAACATAATCCAACAGAAGTGCAACAATCTTTCTTAAAAACTGAAGGGATTTCACCTTTAGCCACTCTAACATGAATCAAGGGATTTTATAGCTCAGTGTATCATTAATACTTTAATATATAAGTTATGGGGATCACTGTAATAATGAAGTTTTTTTTTATTAACTTGATCACTTGGGGTGAACAGGGAGAAGACTGCAATATAAATTAGGGCTGTACAGTACATAGATCAAGATTCAAAGGAAAAAATGCGATTTGGGTGTTCATAAATATGAACGTTAGGAGCTCTCATGAACCCATTATACCCACTTTGTCTTTTCTGGAGACTATGCATCAGATGCAGAATACAGATACATGAGCCCAGGGGGTGCGGGGAGGAAATGCAACATTTTTTAAATGTCCATTGTTCTTGAGAGAGACTGTATACTGTTAGAGTCAAGATGGCGGCCACAGTTGCATAATTGAAGTTCTGTTCCTTTTCCACATGTGTTGCACATACAATGTGTATAAAAGGTAAATAAGGAAAAGAATAGATTATACAAAGAAGGGAATTACGGTAAAATCTTGGGGAGAAAGTTTTGATTAGAATATATAACTGCCAAGAGGAAGATGGGAAGATGAGATGAGATGATGAAAGAGAGAGAGAGAGAGAGAGAGAGAGAGAGAGAGATGATAGATAAAAAAAGAAAATTTAAAAAATCTATCTTCTTTTCTCTGTCTTTTTCCTTTTCACATTTACTTTACTCTCTCTCTCTCTCTCTCTCTCTCTCTCTCTCTCTCTCTCTCTCTGTGTGTGTGTGTGTGTGTGTATCTTATTATCTATGTAAAATCTACCATCAAGCTACCATCTTGGCTTTTTTAACACCTCAACACTCCTGCTAAAAACCTTCATTCATTCACTTCAAGTGGGAAGAGACCCATCACCTTCCTGGCAGTGCCCATGGCAGCCAATGGAAAGTGAAATGATCCAGCAAACAAATATGCCAACATTTTGAACCGAGCAGGCAGTTCCCAAAGCCTGATTAAATAAATGCCTGATTCAGTCTGCAATCCTCTTACCTATCATTACCTAAACTATTCTTCCAAATATATTCTGAATTAAATTCAGCATGCAAATTTAATTACTACTTAATACGCTCCAAACCTAATTACTGTATTTAAATTTTAAAAGTCATTTCCAAATTTATTACAAGCTTGGCTCCTGTTTTTGCTTTATGTCACAAACACAAACTGTTCCAGCTCAAGAGCAAATTGATAGTATATATTAGTATTATTTATTCTGGCTTAGATGCTAAGCACAGCTGGCCTTTCACCCCCACCCCCACCCAAATCTTGCTAAGAAGGAGAAGGCATATGCTCTGTTTAACTCACCTCAATGAAAATCCATTCACAACAGAAGTGCAGCCATCATATCAAGTTCTCACAATAATAGAATCTGAGTTTCCTATTACTGCAAGTGTACTTATGGAGGATGAGGAGTCAACAAGTCAAGATGGCAACCTCAATCATGCAGTCAAAGCTTCTCCCCATGTAACACCGGGAGCACTCAAGAGCCTTTTCAAGTGGCTGTCAATCTTCATGGTAGCAAGTTGTGAAATTGGAGGGTGGCGGTTTAAGAATGCTGTAAACAACTTTTAACTATTATGTTAAAAGCTTCATGAGGAAAAGATTATGCGTTGAGGAGAGGAAGACATTTTACTGCATATTGAAATTGGGTGTTTTGACTAACAGTAAAAGGAACCTACCAGATGTGATAGGAAACCCCTCCTATTTAAAACTGACCATACCTGCGGGTTACAGAAGCATCACCAAAAGAGAATAAAAACATAGAAATGTGGATTTTTAGAAAAATCGTGCCCTTTCTTCATGTTGGAAATAGATGGGGAAAGTAGACACAAGCACTGGGTGAGAATCAGTAAGTTTCTGGCAGGCCAGTGAAGATGCTCAGAAAACTTATCTGAGCCAGTCATAAACTGAATAGTTCTTTAGATGAAGATTTCTTTATTTGATTTATTCATTAAATTTACATGCTGTTCCAGTTCCTTGATAAGATGACTCTGGGCAACTCTCATGCCATCAAAGAGTAGATGTCTCCTTACTATTTGTAAAAACGGCTTATTTGAGTCAAGCTTGATTTTCGTTGACCATATAGCCATATCAGTGTAGGTTCCTTGGACACAAATAGAATGGCTTCCAGGGCAGGTACTAATCAACTCCAAATGTACTTAGCTGCATTCAGATCAACCAATGTTAAATTCTGTCATCTATTTTGGTTCTTGAAATACTAGACTGTTTACTATAAAGCCAAATGCTGACCATCCTTTGAGATCCTCCCTCATTATCTTTCAGCTCCAAATCTCCAATAAGTAGGCATCATGGTTTACTGATAACCATAATGTGGTTTTTCTTGCAATAATAGGGGGAATTTAAAATATCACTCTCTGCAAATGGTGTCCCACCTGCTTTGCATCTGTGAACAAATCTAACTTTAGATAGAAAACAATCTTAAGTTTTTTTAACTTGCTAATGATCCTCTTGCAGAGTTCCTATGGGGACTCACTAACACTTTCATTTGCTTAAGTTCTGGCCTGCTGTAACCTGCCCTCTGTGATAATCATCTCGAAATGCAATTTGATGAGAAAGTGGAAAGCAGCGAACTGCTTTGCTTGCAGCAGAAAAACTATTGCAACAAACTGAGTAAACAAAACAGATGCCTGACAAACTTGTAATACAACAAGATATGGAGTGTTCTGGTGGGAATGTGCTCTACCCTTCTGATTTTGAAGTAGCAGGTTATTTTTAGATATGTTGTTGTTAACAGAGTATCTTGAGATAACATAAAACAGGCATATCCAACTCCCGGGTTGTGGCCTGTACAGAAGCAGGCCACACAAGCAGTGGGCGAGTGAGCAAAATTCCACTTGCACAAGCGGTGGGCACTCGCACTCCCACCGCTGCTTGTGCAAATGGAGCTGCACCAGTGGTGGGATTCACATTTTTTTACTACCGGTTCTGTGGATGTGGCTGGGTGGGCATGGCAGGGGAAGGATACTGTAAAATCTCCAGTCAGAGGTGGTATTTGCTGGTTCTCCGAACTACTCAAAATTTCTGCTACCAGTTCTCCAGAACTGGTCAGAACCTGCTGAATTCCACTCCTGAGCTGCGCACACAAGTGTGCTCGCTCGCTGCTTATGTCGAATCATCCCCTCTCTCCCCCCGCCACCATTGCCAGTCCGCAAAAGCTGGAAAGGTTGGGGACCACTGACATAAGAAGATATATTTGTTAAGTTCGGGTAATGAGAGGCTGAACCAGGGCATGGGTGCAACAAATACTTTATTAGAATAATAAAGGACTGAACGTGCTTGCCAAGCCTGGAACTGGCTCGCAGCAATCAGCAACTGGTTGGACCCCGCAGCCTGCTTTTATAGCTGGCTGCTGGGAAGAACCAACCAATTAGAGAGGGCAACCGCCCCCGCAGCGCGAACGGACCTGGGTGGGAACTTCTTTAAGTTCCAGGGACATAACACCCCTTCCCCCCAGATGCGAACACGCATAGTCTTTAAGGTACGCAGGAGGCTTGTGCTGGCGCCCAGAACGGCGCAACTCTGGGGAGTTGTCTGGTAGATCAGAGTCTGCAAAGGAAGGTTGGACCGGTGGGATGTCACGAACGCGCTCCTCGGTCAGTGCCGGTTCGGGACTCGTAGGGCTGGTCACTGGGGATGTGCTTCCGTTGACTGGTTCGGACTGGTCAGTCATCTGGTGGTCACGGGTCGTGTTCGGGGTCCCTGACTCGGCTGCAGGCGTGAACTGGTCCCTGGAATTGGTGCTGATGTGGGGTTGATGCTGTAGCCCTGCACCGGTCTGCAACCACGAGTCACTGCTAACGTGAGTGCCTTGGCGCTTCCGCAGCTGATCCAGGTGCCTTCTCCAGATTCGGCCATCCTCCAGTCTGACTCGATACGACCTGGGTCCGGTGATGGCCACGATCTCGCCCGGGATCCACAGAGGGTCTCCAGCGAAGTTCCTCGCGAACACGGGTTCCTGTAAGACAAAATGCCTAACCCTCGATGTGGAAGCGAGGGGAGAGTCAGGGCAGTAATGTGGGTGAAGCCTGTCCAATACAGTCCGCAGGCGTCTACCCATCAGGAGTTCAGCCGGGGACTTATTGGTGACTGTGCACGGGGTTGAGTGCTGGCTCAGCAAGAAACGGGAGAGTCTGTGGTGCCAGTCTTCCTTGCTGAACCTAGCTAGAGCTTCTTTAGTGGTCCGAACGGCTCTTTCTGCCAACCCGTTGCTGGCAGGATGAAAGGGGGCCGTGAAGATGTGGCGGATGCCCAGATTGGCAGCAAAGCGACTGAACTCGGCCGATGCGAACTGGGGGCCATTGTTGGAAACAATTGAGTCTGGTAGCCCGTGCGTTACGAATAGGCGAGTTAATACCTTGGTGACCGCTTGCGTGGTGGTTGTGGACAGTTGTGCCACGTCAATCCATTTAGAGTAAGAGTCCACGACCACCAGGAACATTTTGCCGTGCATCGGGCCCGCTAGGTCGATGTGAATCCTGGACCAGGGTGCGCTGGCGCTTTCCCACTTGGTGGGGGTGGCAATTGGAGGGGATGGACGGGATTTCTGGCAGGGATGGCAGGAGCTTACCCATCTGATGATGTCATCGTCGAGGCCGGGCCACCATACGTAGCTGCGTGCTAATGCCTTCATCCTGACGATGCCAGGGTGGCCCTCATGCAACGCCTCCAAAACTCAGGTACGCAGTGAGGTCGGGATGACCACTCGTGTGCCCCACAGCAAACAGCCCTGCAAACTGGATAACTCCTGTAGGCGGGTCTTAAAAGGCGTGAATTTGGTTTCAACATCACTGCCCGGCCACCCCCTCCTCACCCAGTCCAGTACCTGGGCGATCGTTTTGTCTGCCTTGGATTTGGCGGCAATGTCAAGGGCAGTGATGGGGAGGTCCAGTTGGGTGACCTCAAAGATAGCATGGACCGGGGCAGGATCCTCAGCTGGAGCAGGTAGGGGGCAGCGGCTGAGGGCGTCTGCGTGAGACAATGTTTTACCTGGACGGTGTATGAGTCTATACGAGTATGCCGCGAGGAAAAGAGTCCACCTCGTCATTCTAGGCGACAGGACTTGAGGGGTCTGTTTGTCACCTGCTAGTAGACCCAGGAGAGGCTTATGATCCGTGACCAGCTCGAAAAAGTGGCCAAAAAGAAATTCATGGAATTTCTTCACAGCTGCGACAGCTGCTAAAGCTTCCTTATCGATTTGGCTATAATTGCGCTCTGTTGCAGAGAGCGTCCTGGAAAAAAAAGCGATGGGGGCCTCGGAGCCATTGGGGAGTCTGTGGCTTAACACTGCCCCAATTCCAAAAGGGGATGCGTCCGCTGCTAGCACTAATGGAAGGTTGGGGTCAAACTGAATGAGGACCGCCTCCGACGTGAGTAGTGATTTGACTGCGCGAAAGGCGGAGTCTTCCTTGTGTCCCCAATGCCAAGCCGATTTTTTATCCAAAAGTCTGTGCAGGGGTTCCGCCACAGATGCTTTATGGGGCAGGAACGACGCATAAAAATTCAATAGCCCCAAGAAGGCCTGCAGTTCCGCTTTGGAGGTTGGAGTGGGTGCCTCGTGAATTGCCTTAACCTTGGACTCCAGGGGGCCTGAGGCGTCAATTTTATAACCCAGAAAGTCCACCTGTCTAGTGGCAATGGCACATTTTTCTTTTTTTAATTTGAGGCCATGCTGTCTGAACCTCTCTAACACTGCTCGAACTCTCTGGAAGAGTTGGGGTCTGTCCCTGGCCGAGACTAAGATGTCGTCGAAGTAGGGTACTACACCAGGGAGGCCCTGTAAAATCCGCTCCATGAGGGATTGAAAAATGCCTGGGGCAACACTTACGCCAAATTGGAGACGCTTGCACCGGAAAGCACCCCTGTGGGTGACAATGGTCTGGAGTTCCGCTGTTTGGTTGTCAACAGGGAACTGTTGATACGCTTGAGACATGTCCAATTTGGCAAAAATGCTGCCAGGTTCAAAAGTGTGTAATAAATGCTGAATGATGGGCACTGGGTAAGCGCTAACTTGTAAAAACTTATTAATTGTGGTTTTGTAGTCCGAGCAAATTCTCAGGCTACCATCTTTTTTGAGGGGTGTGACAATGGGCGTCTCCCATTTGGCGAAATCTGTTGGCTCAATGACCCCTTGTTTTAATAATTTATCCAGTTCCGCATCTAATTTAGGCCGAATAGCGAATGGGACTCTACAAGGTTTTAGCCTGATTGGGACTGCTTGGGGGTCGACTGAGAATGAGATAGGGGTACCGTTATAACACCCCAGTTCATTGCTGAATACGTCTGAGTAATCAGCGAATAAGGAGTCAGTGTCAGAGGTTGAGACAGCATGGACTCCTGTTAACCCTAGGCCGAGATGGGGGAACCAATCAAGCCCCAAGAGTGTGGGGAGGTTGCCGTTAACTACCACTAGAGGTAGGTGGCCTTTGAAAGTTTTAAAATTAACAAGAAACTTGCCTCTGCCGATTACAGGAATGTCCTTCCCCTGGTAGTCCTTCAGGTTAAACTGGCACTTCTGGAGCCGGTTTCTGGATAGACTGGGCTGTAGTCTCTTGAGGGTGCTCCAAGAGATAATTGAGAGTGCTGACCCCATGTCAACCTCCATGCGACAAGGTTTACCTTCTAACAAAACGGAGAGAGAGATTTTACTAATGGCATGGCAAGCGTGCTTAGCGTGGTGGTGAGTGCGACAGTTCAATACTTGCCTTTGGAGTCCAGAATGTGAAAAGGAAGGGTGCCTTTGTGCCGAGTTGTGAGCAGCTTGACAGACTCTAGCGATGTGCCCCTTTTTGTGGCAAATGTTGCAGGTGGCTCCCTTGAATTTGCAGGTGGTCCTCAGGTGAGATCCACCACAGGATAGGCACAGGGTGATGTGCTTGGGTGGACTGACGCTTTCTTGCTTGGCTCCTACCTGCGGGTGTCTGGCGTGGGCGAGGCGGTGGATGTCGGCCGCATCGCTGGGGTCCTCTTCGATGACCACCTCTTCCGAATGGACTGAAACTGCACTTTGCTTGGAAGCAGGACCTTGGATTTCGGTGACTGAGTGTGCTGCCAGCTCTGCTGCCAGGGCTTCCTCGACGGCTTGCGCGAGGTTGAGGTCCTTCCTAGCGAGTAGGCGCCTTTGGAGGTGAAGATCCTTGACTCCGCAGACTAGCTGATCGAGGAGCATGTCCTCCAGGTAGGTCCCAAACCCACAACGGAGAGCTGCAGTCCTGAGGGCAGCCATGTACTGGTTGATGGTCTCTTTGTCTGATTGCTTCCTCATTCGGAAGGTGAATCGCCTGGCAATCTGTGAGGGTCTAGGAGAATAGTGGTTAGTAAGGATTTCTAACAGTTCTGTCCAGGGAACGTTTTTTAACTCACGTGGAGCCACGAGTGCTGTGGCAGTATCAAAGACGATGGCTCCACAGTAGATCAGGAAATATGATTTTTTCCGGTGCTCCCCTGCATCAGCCAGCCCAATTGCGTCGATGTAATGGTTAAAGCGATTCTTGTATGACTCCCACTTCTCCTCGTCCGGCTTGAACGCTGGGAAAACTGGGTTGGAGTTCATGATGAAAAAAAAATCAGGTTGGATAATCTGTTGAGAAAATCTCTCTGAGGCAGCACCAGGAAGGTTTTTTGTGCCTGTGGCAGGCAAGTGACTTCAGCTCTGGAGAGGCTTTTCACAACTCTCTCTCTCTCTCTGGGTTAACACGAGGTTAGGCTGCAACGGTCGTTGGCAGCGTTTTGAAATTTGCGCCTGCGTGGGCGTCAGTGACTTTGTAATACAGCACCGTGCTGTACTTCTTGGGCTGAAATTCAAATGACAGCTGTTTGAATTTCGCGCCTAAAGAAACGAGCGGCTGCGGCTCGCAGCGCTTCACTTTCCCTGTAGCTTGGCTAACTAGCGGCTACAGACGCTTCTCACTCTCGCTGTTTGCTGACCGCTCTCTCTGGCTGCGGATCAGCGTTCGCTCTCGTTGCCTGCTGACCGCTCTCTCTGGCTGCGGATCAGCGTTTGCTCTTATTGCCTGCTGATCGTTCTCTCTGGCTACGGATCAGCGGCTAGTGATTCAGCGGTTGCATTGTGCCTCTGGTAGCCATCCCATCCTCGTCGCCAGTGTTAAGTTCGGGTAATGAGAGGCTGAACCAGGGCATGGGTGCAACAAATACTTTATTAGAATAATAAAGGACTGAACGTGCTTGCCAAGCCTGGAACTGGCTCGCAGCGATCAGCAACTGGTTAGACCCCGCAGCCTGCTTTTATAGCTGGCTGCTGGGAAGAACCAACCAATTAGAGAGGGCAACCGCCCCCGCAGTGCGAACGGACCTGGGTGGGAACTTCTTTAAGTTCCAGGGACATAACAATATTCATTTTGTAAAGTTCTAGAAACATCTCACCAAGCTTCCCAGAATAGCATTAGCACTTAGACTTATACACCACTTTACTTTACAGCCCTCTCTAAGTGGTTTACAGAGTCAGCATCTTGCTCCCAACAATTTGGGTGCTCAAATTGAATAATAATAAATAAGCGTAATTTGTGAATGCTCTATACTATTTTTACTTTTTAAAAATTTCCTCCTCCATGATCACTCACACTTGCGTTTGAATGTGTACCTTCCTTCAGAGAGTAATGGAGATTGAAATTATACTAATCCACCAGCCATTAACTTCTGCACTGATTCAGTTACATACCTAAGGAACATAAATTCAGAGTATTTGAAGCTAATCCTAGATGAATCACTTGAAGTTCTCATCTGCGCACTACACCCACACAGAGAAATATATAACATTTTTATTACAGACAAACTGCCATTAACAATCTGATTGGGATTTGTTTTATTTATCCAGGCCTGCTACAGAAACTGGAGAGGAGGAGGAAGATAAAGGTCCCTCAAGTCAGCCTGTTGCTCTGAGGAATTGTTTTCACCTGCAGAGGAATAATATCCTTGAGAAGCTCATCAAAACCTGCCCAGTTTGGCTCCAGTTTGGTATCAGTCTGGAAAAGGCTTCTGACATCCTCTGCAAGGAACTATCAGGGGTACAGTTACGCTTCTTCAAATAACCCAGCTTTCAGGGACCAGATATTCTTTCTCCAACCTCGATCTGATCCTGAATCAGGTCTTTCAGCTCATCTGCATTTGCCCGATTGCTTTGTTTACCCGCTATAGAGCTGTCACTTCCTCCGATGTTCATAGGACTGGTTGTAAGATAGCACCGTAGGCATAAATAGTACAGACCAGCCTTAATCGGCTTGTCCCTCATCAGAATTCCCAACCAACATGGTCTGTCTCATCTAGAAGCATCAAGTTGGGGAATGCAGGATAGCATGAAAGCATCAGGAATGACAGGTTGCTGTTGTTTACTAGCCTCTCCAGGTGGGCTATTCAGAGACAGATACAGCATATGATTAATTCATTTGATTTATTTAAAAATTCATATGCAGCTTTTTCCAAACAGGACAATGTAAAAAAACATTTTAGAAACTAATATCTGCTTCTGAATACGTGCTTAGCTCAAGAATTTCTTCTGTTTGGCACAAAAGGATTGAATTTTTCTTATTATAACAATCATATTTTGTCTGAGGAAGGGGGACTTTTAATTATTGATAACAAAGGATTGCAATTTGATGAATGAATGTGGATTGAATACAAAAGTTGAGTACAAAGGTATGTTGGGGTGCTTTGGTCATGAATGAGCATGAGAATGACGGAGGACCGAGTCTTTCTCTTCTCTCCTAACTTTAATTTCTCTGACTATTTCTCACTTTTCCTTTGCTTTATATAATGTAGCTTATCCAAAAAAATATTGTGTAATGCATATCCATGTATGGAAATCTAGTGAAATTTTACTGAGATCTGTTGGGAGATTTTGTTCTACCTTTTTTCTCTGCTTCAGCTTCCAGGGATGAAAAGAAAATACATCTTGGATTTATTTCCACAATAACTTTTTATAGCAATTGTGTTGACCATAAAATGCTTTATAACTATTACATGATTGAAAAAACAAAAAGGCTGTTGCTCATTGATATTCGACATGTGTTGCTTGTAAATAACTCAAATCTGCAATACAAAATTACTCTTCAACTCCCATTTACCAAATCTCTCATCTTTTATTATTCCTTTGTAGTACCAGCTGCTATCTTTGAATAAAGGAAACACATACATACTACAGCAGATTATTAACACATATACTCTTATTTGGTGCTTATCAACATCCCCAATTCAGTTGTCACAGAATTCACAACTTCACTATCTGGAGGCCAACAGAAAGCTGGTGGACATATTTATTTTTACACCAATCCTTTCCACAGAGAGCCTTTCATCTCCTTATTCCCTCATATATCTCATCTCTACTTTGTTCTAAACTCAGCTCCATTTACATTTGTTTTGCTTCTCAGTCCCAATGGCTCTGTCCTTAGCAGTCATTCCTTCTAGCACACTTCTGCTTCCTTTCTTGTGTTATTCTAACTTCCGAAAAATCTTCTCCCCACTCTAGAGACAGCTCTTTAGAAAAGACAGGCCTTGGTAGAGAATATGAAAGGGCTAAAAGCAGAATGGATAATCACAATGGAGGCAGCTTTGTATCTCAACCAAGTTATTTATGCCAGTCTCAAGTGAACTGGATCACAGGGAATAGGAAAGTAGTATAATTTTCAGATGCTAGTAATAAAATACAAATTCTAGAAGGAACTGTAGGTAAATGGGTTACACAACGGTGAAGATTCCATACATTAATTTAATGTATTTTAAATGGGCTTTCAGTCCCCCTGAAAGAAATGTTAGGATCTTGATGAATGCCTGATTGAAACCACTGATATATTCTGCAGTAGGGTAAAACAAAAATTAAATTGTAGGCTAGGGATTGATGGGGGGAAAAGATGCAAATCCATGGCATGGCTTTCTAAAATATAGTTTTCAGGTGCTAGAGCCTTTTGCATTTCCCATAGCACCTAGGTCTTAAGTGGTATGCCTTAAGAATCCACTACACTTCTTCAGAATTCGTGTTAAAGACAGTTGCATTCACAGAGGGGTTAATAGGAACTAGCAGGAAACTGATGAAAACTTTTTATTTTATTTTATTTTGTCAAGTGATTATTAGATGTCAGGTATAAGTATAAACATGGTTATGAATACATGAAATGGATACAAATAAAAATTAAAAAGAAACAATAGGACAGGGATGGTAGGCACGTTGGTGCGCTTATGCACGCCCCCTACAGACCTCTTAGGAAAGGGGTGAGGTCAATAATAGACAGTCTAAGGTTAAAGTTTTTGGGGTTTGGGGAAGAAACCACGGAGTCAGGTAGAGTATTCCAGACATTGACCACTCTGTTGCTGAAGTCGTATTTCCTACAATCAAGTTTGGTGCGATTAACCTTGAGTTTGTATCTATTGTGTGCTCTTGTATTGTTGTGGTTGAAGCTGAAGAATTCATTGACAGGTAGGACATTGCAATATATAATTTTATGCACTATACTTAGATCGGACTGAAGGCGGTGTAGTTCTAGGTTGTCTAGGTCTAAAATTTCAAGTCTGGTGGCATAAGGTATTGTGCTATGAGTAGAGGAGTGGAGAACTCTTCTTGAGAAATATTTCTGGACTTTCTCAATTGTATTAATATCAGATATGTAATGCGGGTGCCAGACTGATGAGCTATATTCAAGTATTGGTCTAGCAAGTGTTTTGTATGCTCTAGTTAGTAGAGTGATATTACCGGAGAAAAAGCTATGCAGGATTAGACTGACAACTCTTAATGCCTTTTTGGCTGTGTAGTTACAGTGGGGTCTAGCACTTATATTATTTGAGATGAGTACTCCAAAAGTCCTTGACAAAGTTTGGGTCATCAACAAGGTCTTGACTATTCAGCTTGTATTTTATTTTCTGATTTTTTTTTACCAATATGTAAGATAGAGCATTTATTTGTTGAGATTTGAAGTTGCCATTTGTTTGAACATTCTGACACATAGTCAATCTAAACTGATCGCAGTTCTTAAATGAAGAGCTGTTTTCTTTTTCTTCTTCTTTTGTGAGTGCACCATGTCATTTCCATTTAAAAAAGGGGCAGGCTTTGTGCTACCTTAGTCATTTTGATGAAGTGATAAATCCTGCAGGTACCTCTGCCTGAAAATATGATATGGCTGAGGTTTCACAGGATGTTTTTTGAGAAGGCAAGATAGGAAGCTTTCTAAGGTTATTTCATGGTCTTGGCATTGGAGCAAACATGTGTATCCATAGACACTTAGGTTTGTCCCTTGCTTTATCTCAGGGGTGTCCAACCTTGGCAACTTTAAGCAAAGCTGGCTGAGGAATTCTGGGAGTTGAAGTCCACAAGTCTTAAAGTTGCCAAGGTTGGACACCCCTGCTTTATCTGATGGTGCTGTGCTGTGCTTCAAAAATTAAATTTGGTGCAGGACCAAAGACAACATCTCTTGACAATATCATGATAGCAATAATGAAGCATGTTTTAAGAACAATAAAATCAGGAAAGTGCTGATATATCCATTCCTTAACATGACAAAGAATCTGACTTTAGCTGTAGATAAACCCATAGTTATAATTATATGGAAATTTTTATTATCGTTATAATGAGTGGATAGAGTGGGAACATTGTTCTCAGGAAACTTCTGAATTTGATTTCAATAAATTCAGAAATGTGTGAAAGTTTATTTCAATGAAAATACCTCAATATATGATAATTCTGCCTTGTCACCTATTAAATAAATTCATTTCCTACTATCAGTAAATTAATGTTAGCTATTACTTACTATATACTTGAGCCTCTGTGGCGCAGTGGTTAGAGTGCAGTACTGCAAGCTACTTCTGCAGCCAGCTACCTACAATTTGGCAGTTCAAATCCCACCAGGCTCAAGGTTGATTCAGCCTTCCATCCTTCTGAGGTGGGTAAAATGAGGTCCCAGATTGTTGGGGGCAATATGCTGATTCTGTAAACCGCTTAGAGAGGGCTGTAAAGCACAATAAAGCAGTATATAAGTCTAAGTGCTATTGCTATATGCTATTGCATATTATTGCAAATAGGAAGAGGAAGAGATATTAGGTATACTTGCCACTTTGAGTCATTTATAAAAATAATAAATGTGGGTAACAAAGAAATAATATATGTGTGAAACAAATCGCTTTCTATTTTAAGGACAGGCTATAATTTGTCATAATTAGAGCTCAGGCTCTAATTAGATGCTTACAGAAAGGGACAAAATAGTTATTATCTATTACTTAGCAAACCTCAGAGGTAGTATTCAGTAGGTTCTGTACAGTTCTGGAGAACTGGTAGCGGAAATTTTGAGTAGTTCGGAGAACCAGAAAATACCACCTCTGACTGGAGATTTTACAGTATCCTTCACCTGCCACGCTGACCAAGCCATGCCCACAGAACCGGTAGTAAAAAAAATTTGAATCCTACCACTGGCAAACCTTATTTAAAAAAATTAGTGATCATTTGTAGGGAATAAGGAGCAATAAAAGAAGCTTTTAATCCATTGTTAGGGAAATCAAATTTCCAATAATAAAAAATGTATGTATTTGTTTAAGTTAATTCATAACTCAATTTTGCAGGAGTCCTGAGCAAAATTTGCAATAAATAAACTTGAAATTTAATATGTGGAAAGAGAAGCAGCTTTCAATACTTCCAAACTTTTCCTGTTTCCTATTTGTGATCACATTTTGGACAATATTATTTCCAGGTCATAGCAAGTTAATGACTGAGAAGCAATAGACTTTTGAGCTATGATTCAGGAAATGAAGAAATTAGTAGATCCTCTTTTCCATCTCCATTAAGAAGATGGAGATCTCCAATCCATTAAGAAGCTCCCCTAAATTGGATTAGTACAGAACTGTGACAACAAAGTGAGATCATCCATTTAGAATCCGTTCACCCAATTTCTTATTGCAGGGGTGTCAAACTCACAGCACTGTGGTGTCATGTGATGTATCGGGATTTTTTTCCTCCTTCATTAAATCAGCATGAGTGTGGCCAGTGTGAGTGTGGCCATCTTCTTAAAGACCAAGTTACGATCTTGGGTATTGTCACCAGATCAGCCCGTGTATTTTTTTTTTGAAAGTTTTATTTGGGTTTTCACAAAAACAGAATACATAAATAAAACATCTTTTTTGAAAATAGCATGGTCCCAGGTTATCACTTCTTCATACAGACACCAAACTCAATTTCATGCTCATTTTTATATTCTATTCCATATCTTATTACCGTTTTATGTTTTCTACATAGTTTTCCCCTCTTTTAATTTTCTCGACTTTATTTTAATTATCTCATCTCAATCAAATCATTATATTTATACTTTTGTCTGTCCTGTTTCAATTTCATATTATCTTTTCTTATTAAACAAATTTTTCCCTGGAGTATGACACCTTTATATCTTTTAATTTTATCCATTCAAACTCTTATTTAAGCTTCAATGTATACCTTTAAGATTATAGCATTCAATATAATACATAACTTCCAATCGAATTCTGCTTGGTACATTCTTAAAATACACACTATATTCTTAAAAAGAAAAAATTATATATATATATGCAAATAAAGCACACATTCCATTCCAATTCAATTCTATCATTAATATTCATTAAAATCTTAACATCTTTAACATTTCTTTTCAATTAAATATCATACTTCCTTGGGAACACTTATAAACTTTCCATAGTTAATTCTTTTTTTCCATATTTCTCACTTATATTTTTATAAATCATTACTAATAATTAAAAATGTTCCCATTTAATTCTCTCAATGATTTTAATTCATTTATTTATTACCAAACATTCAACTACATTACAGTAAGTATTTTATCCATCATTTTAATCATATTTTCTAAAATTATTTCTGTTTATAATATAACAATGCTATCTTATGTACCTTTGCAGAATCCCTTTTGCAATTATCTCTAAACAAGCTTATGGTTACAATCCTTATATCTTTTCCCTGTTCCTCCATTTCTTGTTTCTGTCTTTTACAACTTCTTTTCCTTGCCTTCTTTCCCCCTCTTCTTCTCCCTCCCCTTTTTACCCCCTCGTCTCTCTATTTCTAACTCTCTCATCTGTAATCCCCTCTTCTGTTGCTTTCTAATATTATACTTATCTTTCAAATTCTTCTTCTTCTTTTTGGTTGTTTTTTCTAGTCTTAAACCTTTCACTCTCTTTCCCCCCTTTTCTTTTTTCCCCCCACTTAAAATCATTTGATCATTAAAGATGGCTTCTTCTTTGTCCCAATCTTTTTGTTCTGCAAGCATTTCTTGTTGTTTCTCATAGTTCCAGATCTCCATTTCTAAGAATTGAAATATGAAGCCAAAATAACCTCTCCCTTCTTGTGCATCTTCTTTCCATTTTTAAAGTTCCATTTTCAGTGACACCATTAAGAGTGATACCATTTTAAAGACTTTTAAACAACCACCCTGTTAATTTTAGTCATCCAGATGCAAAAACCAAAAATCACCAAGTAATCCAAATAATCCAAGGCTGTTTCTTTCTGCTTCTTTTTTCCACTTTCCACTTTCTCTTCCTGGGGTTCTATTATTTTGTTACCAAGTTTCAATTAAGATGTATCTTTGAGGAATCTTGTTGAAATTTCACTGTAAGTTCCTTTTAGTTACAGTTCCATTCCTTAGTTCCAGGCAGCCTCCTCCATTTTTCCAGATCCTGCCCTTTTATTCTTTTTTTTTCTCCTTTCCTGCTTTTAAACACTTTTAAATATCCAGAAATCTTTATTATCCTTTTGACTTTTATTTTCAGCTTAAATGCCTATTAATGTCAAAGTGGATTTTTTTCAATTTCTTGCTTAAGTCTCTTGGCTGTCAGTATAAGGAAGGGAAGAAAAAAAAACCTAATCCTTTCCTTTCTCTCTCTCCTTCACAGCTTCAAAATCTTCTTTGGGAATAATGTTATTAAATTTAAATTCCAGGGTACCTTATTTGTTGCTTTTGCTGTTTGACCCGGTCAACCAAAACTTTCTCTTCTTATCTTCCTCCTGCACATTGTTTTCCAGTTGAGTTCTTTGTGGTGGCCATTTCTGACCACCGCTACAACCACCTTCGGGAAAGGGAGTAATGGCCAGCTGGGGAGGAGAGATGCGGCTCTCCTCAACCCTGCAGGCAGTCTCGCCCTTCTTCACCACCTCTACAGGGTGGCTTAGCCCCAAAACCAGCCAGCCCAGGGCACTCCAGTGGTGAGCATGGATCGAAGCCTCGCAGAGACAAGGTTTCAGTCTGTCGCCGAAGAAGCTCAAACCGGAAACCCCCAGCCCATGTATGTTGACCTCTGCCTGACATTATGGATTTTTTCAACTGAAGCTTTCACATAAACATTTTTTATAAGTCGGAGAAGAAGTAGACTAAGTTACTAGTTATAGTGGTCCCACATGTAGCATTCTGTGCTACATGTGATAACAGAACTGGTGAGCATTTGGCCAGAGCACAAAGTCTATAAGCACAACCAAAACTGAATTCTATCCCAAGCATGCTGATGTTATCATATGCAAACCAGGAACTTTACTTATATGCCTATAAGACACTGCTGCCTATATCCCATCAGCTAGGATTGTTTCTTTTATAAGGCATCCAAATCTATAGTGATTCTGATCAGTGATTGATATACTCAGGATACAACAATACCAAGAATACAGAAATTTACTTCCATCTCCTTACAATGCATACCTGCAAATTTATGCATTCAGTTTATCTGTTTCAAAATGATAAGAACCTATAATAATTATATATGTTCTCAGTAGAAGGACATCAGCTTTTCTTCTTCAACCTTCTTCAAGGAGGAAGAAAGTAAGGAATTCATGGGAGTACAAGTTATACTTTAAATGTTAAAGCTATACACCAAACTTGATTTAAAAACAATCTAAAAATCTCTTCCAGTATTAAACTGATCATAAGAACAATATGTGAAACTGTAATTTAGGTAAGGGAGTTATAAAATTATGTGTTTATTTACAGTTCAGATGTGATATTTTTAAATGACAGAAAAATATTTTATATTCTCATGTAATCTCATTTACCCCTTTTTCTCTGTTTAGATATTTATGGTTCGGAAAGATGAGACCCTGAAAAATCTATTCTTGTTAGTTCATTTTCCAGTCCAGAAAGAGGGGTGTGACATTCTAGAATACAAGATAAAAGAAGAAAAATCTTGTAAGTTTATCTCCCTTCTTGAAATACATTCCAATATTTATGCACACTATATACACACTATGATCTGTTTCAGTACATATATTTATAGTATATTTGCCTGCATATACATTTGCTTTGAACTTCAGATTCTGGGGCTTTAAAGGTTGCAGGAATTGGGTTTATTTAGTCTAATGAAAAGAAGGACTAAGGGTGGCATGATAGCAGTGTTCCAATATTTCAGGGGCTGACACAAAGAAGAGGGGAAGCATCCTATTTTCCAAAGCACTGGAAGGCAAGCAAATGGTTGGAAATTAAGCAAGTGTCAAGGTTCCAAGCAATATGTCCCCAGAATAAAAATCCAAGGCATCCATCTTACTTAAAGTCTGTTTATTAGAAACATATCAAATTGGCAAGGTCTTGGTGTAATTCCGACTCTGGCCAGATTCTGGAATTACACCCAGTAAAAAGCAAAAGTTTGAAATGTCCCCTCAGAGTCACAATCTCCAATCATTTCTCAGTCCATCCCTCCTCCACCTGCAGGCATCTTCTCTATTCCCGTGGGAAAGAATGCCATCTAGACATAACATTCCTTCCTTATCTCTAAAGCCCCCCTTTCAACAGCTGGAGAGTGGCGAGCCTGAAATACTGTAAAATTCCTTTGCAAAAAGCCTAAAGGAAGCTAAGAAAAGAATAGACAAAAGCTAGAGTAAAATATGGCTACACATATGTCATCTTCAGGATCGACATCAAGGAGAGAAGCAACCTGGAGCTAAGGAGAGATTTCCTAACAGTAAGAGCTATTTATCAGTGGAACACATTGCCTTCAGAAGTTGCTGTGGGTGCTCCATCACTGGAGAGTTTTAAGAAGAGACTGAACAGCCACTTGTCTGGAATGATGTAGGGTCTCCCGCTTGAGTAGGGGTTGGACTAGAAGACCACCAAGTTCCCTTCCAACTCTGTTATTCTTCTCTCTCTGAGGTAGATCTTCTCAAGAGTGCTGTCCTTTGAGAGAGGAAGAGATTCTTCCTTGGTGTTTTTTTAGCAAGATGATTTTAAAATTATACTAGACCAGGGGTGTCAAACTCATGTCATCATCATGGTGTCATGTGACATATCGGGACTTTCCCCCCCTTCACTAAACCAGGTGGGGGCGGGGCCATCATGTGACACACCCAGCTCACAGGCCGCAAGTTTGACACCCTTGTACTAGACAAATTGAGAGAAGATAGCACTACCAGAAGTTACTTAACCATGATAGCTAAATGGATATTGTAGGTTCAGGAGTAGTATATTGCTTTATCTCAAGTGCTGGAGTCCTACACTAAAGAAAAGAAAAGGATTTGCTTTCATGCTCTGTTTACGGACCAGTTAATAATATTTGGTTGATCAATACTAAAAACCAAGTCTGGACTAGAGTATTAGATAAAATGAATCTGGTAGTAATAGGAATTGTTGCTGGATTGTGGTAGGCTGCTTGTCTTGGTGCATCTGTCCAGCCCCCTATTTCCATTGGATGGAAGTTTACCTATCAGCAAAAAAAAAAAAGATGAATAAAAACGGGACTGCAGAGTTATTATGATTGAAATGGAAAGAAAAAAAACAATACATTTCACCATATGAGAGAGATTGTGATCAAATGGCCTGTGTCCCTTTTGTCATAATGCTCGCGATTGTGATAGGCGTACTCAGTTTCTTGTCTGGCAGTTAACACCGAGGTAGTTTTCAACAATATTGCTCTCTTTTCTTTCATAGCTGCCCATCTTGTATCGAACTCTAGGGAGCTCTCAGTTTTTAATCTTTAAACAACTTAAAGACAGGACTGGCCCTTAAAAATAAAATGCAGCAAATTTGGACATAAGGCCCCTTTAGCTTGGAGAAACAGTTAATATTGCTGCCTCTGTTCATGAAATTTCCAATTTTCCTATTATGGGTCTTAGAAAAGCTATGTCATTTTACCTGTTTCTTTTGCAATATTTTCTACACTGGTGAATGGCTGTTGGTATCTCTTGGTAGAAAATTCCACAAAAGCATTGTCTTTCTGACTAAGACTGATGTTCAGAATAGAAAAATTCACAAAAAAGGCTGAACCTGTATCATGAATGCTGTGTTACACACTGAGCTATGTTAGTTTTACCTGCTTGCTCAGAAAGGGACATAACCTTTTCCTTCCTTGAATTTTGAAATGGGCTGTGTGTTCCCCCTTAATCACCACATCTCTCTGGCGATTTTCCAAGTTACTTTTTCATTTCATTGCTGTTCCCAGTTCCTGCTAATAAGGTTATTCAGTGAATGCAAATGCTAATGGCTATTCCAGAGTACTAAAACATTTAGAATGCTGCTCTCTGTGGCTTGGCCCACAATGGCCTCTTGCCGATTAATTCTTTTGTCCTAGCTATTCTCAGAAGTCACATTCTCAAGTGTAATGAGTTGTGTCAAAGAAGCCAAACATTTTAAAAATGTGTGTGTCTGTGTGAAGATGTATCTACACATACTTCCATAGCATTCAGCAATTTGAAATTCAGAGTGTCCTATTTCTGGAAAAAAAAAACCTGTGTAAAAGACTGATTCCTCAGCACATTTGATCTCATTTTCTGATAAGCAGCATTGCACAATCTCATGTTTGCTGAGCTGCTACTTTTGGAAAGAAGTAAAAAAAAAAACTTCAAACATTTCTCAGAATAGTTTGCACTGACACACATCAGTGCCTAGAACTATGGAAATACTTGGGGAATATTCATGAGTTCTGTGGCATGCATATCATGATTCAGAGGGGAGTTAAAGTAGCTTGAACAATCACAAAGCTATGACATCATCATTGCTGCATTTCTGCACTATTCATATGGAAACTAATGAGTAAATGGAAAAAGAAAAGCAAAACAGAGGCTTAGAAAAGACAGTTTTAGTCTTTCAACTAAGCAGACCATTTAGCTTCAGCTTGTTTCTGTTTTTATCTGGAAATGTATTATAATTCAGTATTCCTTGCAAAACATCATCAATCCTTCAAATACAGCAGAGCATATTTTAACATAATTCATGAAAAATGTCTAAACTAATTGCAACATGGAACCGTATCAACAGTGACCCTTGAGGTTACCCTTTGTATCCAATTGTTGAATCTTTTTATTTAGAATCAGTCATTATGCAGCCTGCATATGAGATCATTCTAGGAGGCAGGAACCAAATGGTGGTGATCTCAGCCAGGATGACTGAACACCTCCTTTTGCTGCAACTGGAAAATAAATGTAGCCAAATGCAGCTCTGGGTCCAAGGAAATCAAATATTTGTTGGTTCCAATCAGATCTCAGTAGCAGTAACTGTGAGAGGGATCTTGGAGTCTTAGTGGACAACCAGCTAAATATGAGCCAGCGGTGTGCAGCAGCAGCCCAAAAAGCTAATGCAATCCTAAGTTGTACTGACAGAGGGATACAATCAAGATCAAGGGAGGAACTAATACCACTCTATAAAGCCTTAGTAAGACCACACCTAGAGTACTGCATCCAGTTTTGCTCACCACATTATAAAAAAGATGTTGAGACTCTAGAAAAAGTACAGAGAAGAGCAACCAGGATGATTAGGGGACTGGAGGCATTCAAATATACAATGAACAGTTGCAGGAACTGGGCATGGCTAGTCTAGTAAAGAGAAGGACCAGGGGAGACATGATAGCGGTCTTCCAATATCTGAGGGGCTGCCAACAGGGAGGAAGGGGTCAAGCTATTTTCTAAAGCATCTGTAGGTCAGACAAGGAATAATGGATGGAAACTGAACAAGGAGAGATTTAACCTGGAAATAAGGAGAAACTTTCTGACAGTGAGAACAATCAACCAATGGAACAGCTTGCCCTCAGGAAGTTGTGAGAGTGTCATCACTTGAGACTTTCAAGAAGAGATTGGACTGCCATCTATCAGAAATGGTGTAGGATCTCCCGCTTGGGCGGGGGTTGGACTAGATGACCTACAAGGTCCCTTCCAACTCTGATTATCTGTTATCTATCTCATTGCTAGGTCTGATGAGACTAAATTGAATGAGAAGAGATGGAGTGAAACAAGCTAAGTGATGGCTGTGTTCCAGGTAGTCTCCCAACAAATATTGGGCACATGCTATTTTTTTTGAGAATTTTCTCTAATAAGAGTGTCCATCACTTGAACAGATCCCAGGCACATCTAGAGATCCTGTACTTTTCTCTCTAGTTCAGGGGTCTTCAAACTTGACAGCTTTAAGACTTGTGGACTTCAACTGCCAGAATTCCTCCTCCAGTCACTTAGGAATTATGGGAAATGAAGTCCATAAGTCTTAAACTTGCCAAGTTTGAAGACCCTTGTTCTAGTTTATCCCAGATCCTATTGTCCTCCCCTGCAGTGTACTTCCTACGCTCCTGGAGTATAGATTCTTGATTGCAATTTTGCATATTACATAAAGAGGAAAAGTAATGACTGATGGAAGCATTCCAGTTATCTTCCAAGATGACTTCAGAATATTCTCTGAAACCTTAGAGTGGAGTGAAGAATATTAATCATCAGATACAGTCAGAATGAATGATAGATTCTTAGAAAGAGAACAAATCGGAGCAGGAGAACTAGAAGGATCAGGATCCTGGGAATGGTTGGAAGGCTGGTCCAGACACTAAATTAGATCATATACACCCAAGATTTTGATCTGGTGTAGGTAGTAAGAACATCTGAACTCAAGGCACATTCCTGCCCAAGTATCAAAGGTAATCCTTGAAATATATTAATCTGTGTTTAAATCTGCAATCTCCTACATCTGGGGCCTTCTGTAGCTCTGTGGATTGAATTTCAGGAAACCCTGCCATGAGGAGCTAGGGATAAATCCTCTGGAGAACAGCCAGGAATATATGGCTTAAGACCTTTCCAGTGATGTATCTCAGCCAGTTTTATCTTATATTTAAAGCTTGATTTTTCTCTCTCATCCTTTGCTATCGATGTTGAAGAAAAAATAAAATAAAACAAGTCTCAAGCATGTGGATGGTGACAATAGGATGTGCAGAACATTGCTCATCA